CACGACAAAAGGCTGTCGCTTCTGTTTTTTTCAACTATTTCCTCAATCCTCCAAAGTCTAAACTCCTCAAACGTTCCTCAGATGCCCCCTCCAGCCTTACTTCTTCCAGGATCTTCATTTTGTCTGAAATGTCTATTCCTTCTATTTCTGCCCCTGGAAATTTTAACAGCTCTCTCTCCCAAAACTTCAATGGATCAGTTGTACTTGTTTTTTGAACACATATTAAAATAAAATCGTATGGTCAAAATACATGTGTATATTATTCTGTGTCACCTAAAATAATCTCACATTTCCTGTGTGGTATATCTACCACTTTGGAAAATATTTCCTTAAAATGCTTATTCTATTTGCTTTTCTTTATTATTATTTACGGATTTGTTTTATTTCCCCTACTAAACACCCAACTCCAGACAGCAGATAACAGCTTCCTCATTTTGGGGGTCCTGAAGCCTCTAGCAAAAACACCAGGGAGGTTTACTAAATAAACATTTCTGTTTATTTTTTAATTTTAACTTTTTTTTTTAACTTAAGTATAGTTGGCATAGAATAGCATAGAATAGCATTTAAATCAATAAACCGTCAGGCACTGTAATTAATAGCTAGGAGTAAAAATAAGATGAGCAATAAAGTCTGCTATATATTTTCGAAGACTTTTTTAGAGCAATTTTAAGTTTACGGCAAAAAAGATTTCCCGTCTTCCCCCTCCGCACACATTACTCACAGTAGGCTTTCAGAGAATGAGAAACCTACCTTTTTCTTCCTAAATTCTCTGCCTTCCAGCTAATTCTCCAAAGAGAATTTGACAAAGACAGACGGAAAGGATGAGAAAAGAAAGGCCTTAGTCACACAGGAAAATGGAAGCCCTTGTGTTTACACGAATCCGGACAGTGTCTGCTAACACAGATGAAGAATATTTTTCATTTGCTAAAAAATCCGACCTGAATACCTTATTCAGACCTATCCGCCCAGCCTCATCTTGGGGTGCTACAGCCTATAGTAGTTGCTCCTGTTAGTCAAGGCCTGCTCACAGAGTCACAAAGGCCCGCAGAGTGACAGGGGCTACTGTGAGCCCTCACAAAAAGCGGGGGTGAGTCATCCGGATGCTCGTGCTGTGTGCCTTTCCTGCCAAGAACACGGACTTCATCTCCAAGGACCTCTCAGATTAGCGGGGGAGCTACGTGTCGATGTGTGATAGAGACACTTATCTGTTAGAAGTTAGGAGACTAACAAGTGAGGAGGAAAGTGGCAAGAGAATTGGCACCGGAAAGGTCGTTTGGGAACCTTGTGAACTAATCCAAGAAATGTGACCTTTCACCGAGGGCAGAGGTGACACACTCAAAATCTCACAGAGACCAGGCGCGAGAATGAGTGACGCTGGCCAGGTAAGAGGGAGTGGTGGGGACTGTGGCCAAACAGAGACCCCTTGGCCTGTCTAAAGTGGGCAGTTGCCCTCGGCTCCAGCTGATTGTTGCTATGTGGGATTGTGGGCCAGATCCTCCAGTCTCCCAAGAGAAGCTGGAAATACAGGTTTTTATAGGACAGTCCCGGTTCTTCAAAACACGTGGGCCAAATCAAACTGGTTTTCGAACCAGGTATGGCTCACAGGCTGTATAGCTATCACCCTGGCAGATCGAAGGATGCTAATGATGGCTTCTAAGCGAAAAAGAAAGGATATGACACATACGTACTTTAGAAAAATCGCACTGCAGTGTGGCAGAGGAATTACAAGAAACGGACCAGAGAAAAAGGAAGCCAACACTTTTGAACAGCTGGGAGGTGACAGTGGTCAGCGCTAGGGCAGAGGCAGTGGGCGGTGGTTGTGGGGCTGACTCGGTGGGAAGAATTTAGCTTTCTTCAGCATCTGGAAGGAGGCATGTTTCCACGCACTCCTCAGCCCTTTCCTAAACCAAAAGGCACAGGGCAGATGGATGATCTCTGCAGTCAAAGAATCGGTCATTTTAGCAAAGACTCTGATCTTCGGAGCAGTCCAGTTTTACCCATGATTATTTTAGAGAGAGATGCCATGACCAACTGCCCCAATCCTCATCCGCCCCCAACACATAATTAAAATAAAATAAAAACACATATGTCATGGTGTTTGGCTCTTTTGAGCAACCAGTGGGAAGCTCGGAGCCAAATCCTCTTTTGCATACAGCAGAGGGAGGGACTGGCTCCCACAGAGGCTGTTTCATGGAGACAGACATATGAAAAGTGACTTCCAATCCATGTCATGGTCCCTCTGGTTATGCAACTAGTCTCTTGGGTTCAAGGAAGGAGGCAAAGGGCAGGAGGTACGAATGGAGGGCGGGAAAGGTGGACCCACTTCAGAGAACTTTTTTCACACCCAACGAGTGAGGTTTTTAGAACCTTTTTTTTCCGCAGACCCTCCTGATTTTTGAGGGCTGTATTTTTGGGTGTGGGCATAGGAAATGGTTCTGAGCCGCTGGTCTCTGGCACCGCCCGGGAGCGCCCCATGGGATGGGGGACAGGACGGGGCAGTCAGGCAAAGGTTAGGGAGGAAAGTAACACAGAGGTCCAGATTGGCTCCAGGAAATGTTTGTATTTCTCCGCCGGGAGGGAGGACAAACAAACTCTTTTCGAGCCTTCTGGGCAGCTTTGCGCGCTCTCCAGCACAGAGAGAGTCTGCGGGGGAAGAGTGAGGCTGGAAATAAAAATCATTCTGGGGCCGGACCCAGCAACTGCCCTCCAGCATGAATCTCATTGGACCTGCCGGCCGCTTTGCAGAAATGACCACTTGCATGAAACTACATGCATTTCAAAGCCTCGCGGTGCTGCATACTTGGGCTCTCAGGAAGACCTGCAGCTCGTGACCCAGGCTCCTGAGAAAGGATTTCCCTGAAACTCTCATTTTCCAGCTGAAGTTTCTGTTCTCCAAATGAGCAGTGGCCGCATCAACCCACATGTGTGGTCGGGGCGTGCACCTCAGGGTGAAGAAGTTAGAAAACCAGCAGCCGGGTGAGTGGCAGCGATTAGATAAACCTCTGTGCGTTTGTGGGGAGTCCAGGGCACACGAAGCATCTGTCCTCTGTCCACCATGGACAACGGGTCGTGCTGCCTCATCGAAGGGGACCCCATCTCCCAGGTGATGCCGCCGCTGCTGATCCTGGCCTTCGTGCTCGGTGCCCTGGGCAATGGGATTGCCTTGTGTGGTTTCTGCTTTCACATGAAGACCTGGAAGCCGAGTACTATTTACCTTTTCAACTTGGCCGTGGCTGACTTCCTCCTCATGATCTGCCTGCCCTTTCGGACAGACTACTATCGCAGAGGTAGACAATGGGCCTTTGAGGACATTCCCTGTCGGGTGGCACTCTTCATGCTGGCCATGAACAGGGCCGGGAGCATTGCGTTCCTTACACTGGTGGCTGTGGACAGGTATTTCAAAGTGGTCCACCCGCACCACGTGGTGAATACTATCTCCAACCGGACCGCGGCTGGCATCGCCTGTGCCCTTTGGACCGTGGTGATCCTGGGGACTCTGCACCTTTTGATGGAGAACCATCTGTGTGTGCAGGAGAAGACCGTGTCCTGTGAGAGCTTCATCATGGAGTCGGACAACGGCTGGCACGACATCATGTTCCAGCTGGAGTTCTTCCTGCCCCTCGGCATCATCTTGTTTTGCTCCTTCAAGATTATTTGGAGCCTGAAGCAGAGGCAGCAGCTGGCCAGGCAGACCCGGATGAAGAAGGCCACCCGGTTCATCATGGTGGTGGCGGCTGTGTTCGTCACGTGCTACCTGCCCAGCGTGTCAGCCAGACTCTATTTCCTCTGGATGATGCCCTCGAGTGCCTGTGACCGCTCTGTCCACGTAGCCCTCCACGTCACCCTCAGCTTCACCTACATGAACAGCATGCTGGACCCCCTGGTGTATTATTTTTCAAGTCCCTCGTTCCCCAAATTTTACACCAAGCTCAAAATCTGCAGTTTGAGACCCAGACGCTCTAAAGCACAGAGGCCAGAAGAGATGCCAATTTCAAAACTCTGTCGCAAGAGTTGCACCAGCGTGACAAACAGCTTGCACAGCCAGCCCGATGTGCTGTAGGACCTCCAAATGTGTTGAACCGGCACTAAGACAGACAGACCAAACAGAGGACAGTTTGGCAACTTAGAAATAATTCGTGCTATGGGTGGGGGGCTTTGAAAACGTGGCCATTCCTTAGCTGCATCCCCCCCCACGCTGTTGGAAACAAAGTTCAGGCTACTATGCGTTTTTGGAAGGTCCCAGTGGAGAAGTGAGTCGGTCGCATTTCTATGATCTGATTACAATGATAGGGGACAATATGTGCATGTAATGAGACGTGTGTATGCTGGGTGGTGGGGCGGGGGGAGCGCTTAGGAAGAGCTCGGCTTCCGTGTAATTTTAAACGGCTGAGTAAACAGGTACATGTGTTTAAATCTGTCGCGTTCTCTCCCCCAGGGAGTCAGTGAACTTAATGACTTATCGATATTTCCTGTCGGCTAACCTTAAATCATTACTTGTCTTGGAAAATAGAAGCTGGACTAAGTCAATACTTTTATTTCAGGCTGAGCGAGGTTCTTTAGATTGGAATGTCTCGATTCTGATGATTTTCATCTTCACCCCCCAACCCCCACCGCCGTTCATTTCTTGGCTTCTCAGTAGCCCGAGGAGAATGACAGCAAAACAATCTGCTCTGACCTTCTCTGAGCTCTGTATTTTTCTGCAAGTCTTTGCATTTCGCAGAACATGCTGAGGGATATGTTTACCTGCCCTGATTTTTCCAGTGGGAGCTGAGTGCTTGGAAAAAAAAAAAAAAAAAAATCCCTTTGGCCTTTGGGAAATGCTGAGTCCAGCACAATTGCTTTTACCTGCTTTTACGTGACTATGAGTTAATATTAGTCCCTCATTCATTCATTCTCCACGTATTTACTGAATTCATATTTGTGCCAGGCGCTGTGCTATGTCCTTTTTACCTGGAAGGTTATCAGTCAACTCTTATATGATGGCAAAGTTTCTTTTGGGGGGGACGCAAACAGGTTAATAACCTTCATCTTTTCAATGAATGTAGTTTCTAGACCAGTTTCTGCAAACACCAGTGTTTTCCTCTCATTGCGGGATTCTACCGAAGGGTGGAAAGGGGAAGTGTCCCTTATACACAATTGTACCTGGAACCCTCAAAACCAGATGATTCTATGAAATGTCAGGCTGGCCTGCCTCAGACTAGAGCCAACATTGTCGTTTTCTGAGCCTTTATTTACACGTTCTCAGGTTCCCAGGGTACTCTGTGCACTAAAGGACCTTACCAGCTTTTAGCGTTTGGGCTTCAAAACCCCCTTATTGGCTGTCCTCAATATTTCCTTTTTCAGAGGCACTGCACAGCCTAGGAATGAAAGGCGTGGGCTGTAGACAGTCAGATGACTCTAGTCTGAATCCCAACTTACTAGATATGATTCAGAATCTGGTTTTATTTAACCACGTTTAGTTTTTACTTCCTCACCTGCCAAACAGGTGTGACAATAACATTGACTTCAAAAGATCGTTGTGCAGATTCAACTAATACAGGATCCTGAAGCCAGGGTTCTTATCAGCATCAAAGAACCACATATCTTCCTGATATAAATCTGTGAAAACCCACACTTCTGCTTTTCTGTTTTTCATTCTAACTCTTTCCTGGGCTCCTTTGTTGCTTCGTCTTAATAAAAATGGGTTTCTACAGCAAGTTTGTTGTTTTGTCTGTGACCCTACGTTAAATGACTCTGACTCGTAAGACTGTACGTTCCAAAGAAAAAAGTCTAAAAACTCCAGAAGCTCGTGGTAGGCAGAAGTGCTCACTAAAAACAGTGAGAATGGAAAAAAAAAAAAAAAAAAAAGGAAAGACAAATCAAAACAAAACCCCAAACACAGTCTTGCCTTTGCTTTCCTTTTTAAATTCACAGAATGCGACAGAACTAAATCTCGTCAAGAAGCGTTCTTCAGAAACTCTAAGGAAGAAGGGTAATAGCTTTGTTGGCAAAGCTTCCTTTAAACTACCTGGAACAGAAAAAGTGTAACTGATTTAGGAGAAAATGTTTCCTCTTACTCAAGGTCTTCCAGGAAAAGTCACATAAAAGCTAAAAGAGATATGAGACCATATATTCTACAGAAATTGTATGAAAAAAATAAGAGGCACATTTTATTGGTGCTGACAGTGTAAAAGTTTCAGTTCTGGTTTATTCTCAGAATGGGTTTTCTTACCTCTTATTAAAAGCGAAATGGTTAAGATGGGATCTGAAGTCACCTGAGGGCAGGGGCTGCTTAGACAGGATTAGAACTCTGGGTCCCAAGGGGTTAAGACGATTGTTAAAGGTTCTACAGAAAAGTGAGCAAAGTGAGTTGGGATGCCTGGTCTCAACCTGCCCACCTTCTGGGTCATCGAACCCACAGAGGTTTCCAGTATGTCTCAAGACCCCGTCATCACAGCAAATGCATAAAGGGCTTCAGGACTAGTTCTATAATTCGCAGGGCCCCGGGCAAAGTGAAAATGCAAGGCCGTCCCGTTCAAAAAGCCTTAAGAATTTCAAAGTGGCGACAGCAGAGCATTAAACTAAACACCCTTCTGAGTTTAGCCATGAAGCTGGGATCCTAAAGTTTCCATCTCTGTCTCTGTGTCTATGTCTATGTCTATGTCTATGTCTATCTCTATCTATAGGTTGAGATGGAATAAACAGATGGGCTCACATATGGGCCTCATCTACATTTAGCTTCCAGTGATGACACAGTAGAAGTGGGAAGGAGTCAATATTTTATTCCTTGTGAAGATTCATTCATTCATTCATTCATTCATTCCCTCTTTCAAGGAAAATCGATTAGGCACCAGCTCCGTACCAGACACGGCAGAAACACAATGAAAAACACAGCCCCTGACCACCCTATTGTAGAAACCAAGGGACAAATAAAATGACCACTCAGGGGAACTGCCTGGAAAGTGGTTGACAGAGGGTTCTACGGGAGAACCCAGGGGCCCTTAATCCTGGCTTGGAGGGTCTGGGGGGGTGGGAGAAAGCTTCTCAGAGGAAGTGGCTCATGAACTTAGTCCTGAAGGATGGACAGGAGGCAACCAGATGACTACTGGGGAAAGGTATCCCAATTAGAGCAGAGTGGGAACCGCAAGGCAATCAACGAGACGTGAATGAAACCCCAGGCTGGGCTGAGACGGCCTGGTCAGAGGTGAAGCCATGAGAGCCACCAGGGAGAGGTCTTTTCACTACCCTTCTGGGAAGAAGATTCATGAATCGCTTTTCAGATTCCCTTCTTTTAAGAAAAAGAATTAAATTTCTTTAATTACAGAAGGCATATATGCATTTCTGCTTAAAATTCAAAGAATTTCAAATCTATAAAGTAAGAAGTAAAAGTCTTCTTTTCATTTTTCTTAATCTTATATCCTAGAGGTGATGACTTTTAACATTCGGGATATATACACACTTGCCCACAAAGAATGAATCTTGTTTTGTTTTGCTAAAGCAGGATATACATATATATGTATATATAGTAAAGATTCCTCTATATAGTTTTGCAAGGTATTTTATCATAGTTTCCTACCTCAGAACAGAGGTCGAGCTCACCGTTTTTAACTATATTTCATTGTATAAACAAAACATATATAGTTAACCAATGTCCTTTTAGTGAACATTTAAGTCATTTCCAATTTGCCTCTATTGCCATCTTGCTATGGTGATTATTCTGAAGGATACATCTTTAGGCACATGGGCCAGAGTTTTTGGAAGCTAGATCTTTAGACACAAGACTTGTTGGGTCAGAGGACAGGTAATAGTGGGCGAGGCAGTGTGCGCAATGGCTGAGAACGTAGCCCTGGGGCCAGACCGTCTGGGCTCAAACCTTATCTTCTTACCAGCTGTGTGATCTCCAGCAAGTTACTCAATCTCTCAATGCTTTACTTTCCTTGTCTGTAAAATGGGGACAAGAATAGTACCTGCCCCGAAGGGTGGTTGTGAGTACTGAATGAGTTTAGATGTATAAAGCACCCATAATAGTGTCCAACACAGAGTAAGCACTATTTCTATTAACTCTTATTATTGTCTTATATTAGCTCTTATAATCTTTACATGCGCCACCAAATTGCCCAACGAAAAGCCTGAACCAACTTATACTCCCATCAACAGTAGATGAAAAGTTTTCTTCCACACTTTTGCCGACAAGATCTTGTTTCTTTTGCTTGTATAATAAGCATTTTTCCCTTCTTTTTGTAAAAACAAAAACATTTTACTCTTTAAAGTGATGAAGTCCAATTTACCAATGTTGTGGTCGTTCATGTTTGATGTACCTACGAAGGCTTTGCCTAAGCCAACGTCATGAGAACTTCCTCTTAAATTCCAAAAATTTTATGTCTTAAATTGAGGTCTGTGATTTATTTTAAGTTAATTTTTTATGTACAATGCAAGGAAGGGGACCAACTTCATTCTTTTGCATGTGGCTCTCTGGTTGTCTCAGCCTCATTTATTAAAAAAGCGATTCTGTCCGCCATTGATTTGTCTGAGTGCCCTTTTAAAAGTCAGCTGACCGTAAGTGTAAGGGATTGCTTCTGGACTCTCAGATCCCGCTCTGTCGACTTACGTGTCTACCCTTATGCCAGGACCGCACTGTCTTGATTACTGTAGATTTGCAGCAAGTTTTTAAATCATGAGGTGTGAATTTTGTACTTTGTTCTTCTTTTTCAAGATTATTTGGTTAAATAATCAAATGTTAGGTTTTTAACACTGAGAAGTTTTGCTTGTGTGACTTTGGAAGCCCTATGTAGCCTTGTAAGACGCCTAGCCTACCCTGTGGAAAGAACATATGAAGAGGCTACGTGTAGATGCCACAGAGAGATGCCGCATAGACACAAGGCAATATGGAGGGGGAGAAGTGCCCAGATGTCCTGCTCGAATCTAGCTGCCACCTGAGACCCCTCCCCCCGCAAATGAGAGCCACTCAGCTGAGCCCGGCCAACCCATAGAGCTATGAGCGCAAAGACAGAGTTTAAAGACAAATAGTGAATTACTGAATCTCTATAAGCCTCAGTTTTCAGATCTGTAAAATGGGGAAGATGATAATATTAACATATCACTCACAGGGTTCTTGTGAGGATTAAATGAGGTCATGTATACTAACGCCCGGCATAAAGCAAACTACTGATAAATGGTAGCTTTTTTTCTTCCTCTTTTTTTTTTTTTTTAAATGGTTCCATCCAGTTCAGTGGTACACATTCGAGCTGTAATATGATAACCAGGCATGGAGATTCGATTGCGAAAGTCATAGATTTTAAGTGGCGTTTCCACAAAACTCAGTGGAATCACTGCCTTCGCTATTGAAATGATTCATTATAATGAGTTTCTGTACAACTCATGTGATAGAAAAAAAATAAATACATAAGGGAAGCATACATGCAAGACAGAACATGCCGCTGGTGCGGTGGGAAAGGCGGAAATCCCAGAGCAGGCACCGGGACCCAGGGGGCGGGGTTGGGGCGGGGGATTTACACGAGTAGGTGTGAACTTTGGTTTAGGATCACAGAATGTGAAGCTGAAAGGAAGCGTGAAGATTATCTAATCCCTCAGTTTACATATGAGAAAGCCGAGCGGTGAAGAGGTTTCACAGCTAGTTAATGAGGGAACCAGGACAAGCACCCCGCCTCTCCAGTTTTTCTTTTTTTTTTTTTTCCAAATTTAACAATATTTGTTGTTGTTCTTTTCTAATTTTGTCTATCATTATTATTTTAAAATGCCTATATTATAAAATTTAAAATTTAGAAAGGGAGGGACCTTTGCAAATTTTAGTTCCCAGAAATCATTTTTTCAAAAATAACTCTCGTTAATGACTTTTAGTTAAAAAGGACCTTCAGGATTACTTGAAGAATATCGTTGACAAGTTCACATTTGTCCTAAAAGGAAACATGATATTCACGGGCAGCAAGGGTGGGAAACAAATACCAGTTGTTTCACTAGAGCCTGAAGACACCCACATAATGTGACCTCGATCCAGTGCAGCCTTATAGATGAGGCAATCACATAATAAGAGGCAATGCGTGAATTGGTCAGGGACATAGACTTTTAAGCCGGAGCCAGATCCACACTCAAGCTCTGCCCTTATGAGCTGAGTAGCCTTGAATATGCGAAAAACCTCTCTGAGCTTCATGTTCCTCATTTTGAATCTGAGCTTCATGTTCCTCATTGTAATAGTTAAGGTAAAACAAGATAATGTTTTTAAAGCACCGGGCGTGGGGGCTGACACATTGGGGCTCTCTGTACCACAGGTGCCAACATTATCTTCATCATCATCTTCATCATCGAGTACGTCTGGTTCCTGTGGGAGTTTAATATTAGATCGCCTTGACTAATTCACTGTCAAGAGTCTACAAACCTCTATTACTGAACCTCGGCATGCAACTAAAACAACGAATTTCCTATTTCTAACCCAAAGTCGAAGCAACACAATTTAGAAACCTCTAGTAAAGCAAGAATTCAACAGACCAAAATATCGCGGGGTAGACATGTTCTGTAGGGTTCCACCCAATCAGACTGAGAAGCAAAGAAATAATGTATGAATTGGCAGAGTTCAAAGTCCTCTTAGGTCCCCTCGCTCTAAGTTTAATTTTCCAAAAATGGGGGCTTTGAAAATATCACATGATTAGTGGGGGAAGACGGCGGGCAAGGGGACAAAGGAGACACAAACTCCGCTCAAACTTTCTGCTCAACTTGGCTGTGAATCTAAAACTGCTCTAAAAAATAAAACTGATTAATTTAAAAATACTTAAACATAAATCACTTGAGCATGGAAGCATGTCAAAAGCTAACACAAACAAACAAAAACCCAAACTCACCGTAACGTACAACCGACAGTCCAAACTAGGGTCAAGTTTTCAAACATCTTATGGAATTTTATGCTGTTCTGAAGTAGCTTTTTTTTTTTTTTTTTTCCCTAACTAGAGATTAATTGCAGAGTTCTGGTGTGGAAAAACAATCCATGTTTGTACAGGGAAGATGGCATGCAACACATCTGCCCTCATAAAATAGACAATTACTTTCTTCTCAGCCTTTCCAAAAGAAATCGCGTGTGTGCTGTTTCCTAAATCATATACATGCTAATAATTCATACTCATTTCTGGAAAATCCTGCTGTTTAGCACAGTATGTTATTTTTGCTGCTGTTGTTTTGTTAACTACGTAAACCGACCACACGACAGTGAATCAATCCGCCAGTACTCAGTCCTTTGTACTTTGTGCATTCCACAGGGATGCCCTCCACATTTTAGTAATTCATAAATGACAGTCGGCTCGCCTAAACTTATCCTTTATAATGAGAAAATTTTGCGGGTTCCTATCCGCCTGGGGGATTTTTATTGCTTGTTTGTGCAAACAGCAGGTTGCATAAGAGTCATGCTGGCTTTTTTTTTTTTTTTTAAGCAATTTCGTAGTTTCCTGGTAACCATTCAGTCATCTGTTTCGACACTCTGACATGACATAAAGGCGGGTGCTGAGCCACACGTTCGCCACACAGGCACACACCTCTTTCTTTGAGCATTCGCTAGGTGAGGCGCTCGCTGGGCCCAGCTCAGTCCACTGATGAACCCGTACCACCAGCAAACTCATTTTCTGTTGATACACAACAAGAACTGCTGTGTGTTCCGGGACGACTTCATTGCCAACGTCCTGCCACCGGTGTTGGTGCTGGAGTTTGTGTTTGGGCTCTTGGGCAATGGCCTTGCTCTGTGGATTTTCTGCTTCCACCTCAAGTCCTGGAAATCCAGCCGGATTTTCCTGTTCAACTTGGCCGTGGCTGACTTTCTCCTGATCATCTGTCTGCCGTTCTTGACGGATAACTATGTGAGGAAGTGGGACTGGAGGTTTGGGGACATTCCTTGTCGGCTGATGCTGTTCATGTTGGCCATGAACCGCCAAGGCAGCATCATCTTCCTCACGGTGGTGGCCGTGGACAGGTACTTCCGGGTGGTCCATCCCCACCATGCTCTGAACAAGATCTCTAATCGAACGGCGGCCATCATCTCCTGCCTCCTGTGGGTCCTCACCATCGGCCTGACGGTTCACCTCCTGTACAACAATATGCTAATCAAGAATCACGACGCGAATTTGTGCAGCAGCTTTAGCATCTGTCACATCTTCAGGTGGCACGATGCCATGTTCCTCCTGGAGTTCTTCCTGCCCCTGAGCATCATCCTGTTCTGCTCGGTCAGAATCATCTGGAGCCTGCGGCAGAGACAAATGGACAGGCATGCCAAAATCAAAAGGGCCATCAACTTCATCATGGTGGTGGCCATTGTCTTCATCATCTGCTTCCTGCCCAGTGTGGCTGTGCGCATACGCATTTTCTGGCTCCTGCACACCGTGGGTACCAAGGACTGTGACATCTATAGCTCGGCTGACCTGGCGTTTTTCATCACCCTCAGCTTCACCTATATGAACAGCATGCTGGACCCTTTGGTGTACTATTTCTCCAGCCCATCTTTTCCCAACTTCTTCTCCACTTTGATCAACCGCTATCTCCGGAAGAAGACTCCAGAGGAGCCAGACAATAACCGGAGCACTAGCGTCGAGCTCACGGAGGATTTGAGTGCTACCAGGAGTGTTTCAGGTGCTTTAATGGCCAACCCCAGTGAGCCATGGAGCCCCCCTTACCTGACTCCGACTTCTCGTTAAATAACCACGCCAAGAAGGGAGACTGTCGCCAAGATTTCTGGAGAAACAGTTTGGCTGGTGCGCACAGTAACATCATTAGACTTGGCCTGAGGTTTCCTGGAACTTCCGGATTCAGAGAATCTGATTTAGAGAAGCGGTATGGCAGAGTGGGCCACAGACACCCTGGAGGAATGGCGAGTCAAGCTTCTGTGCATCTGAAAATTCCGCTCCATCGCAGACACTTGCAGAAGTGAAGATGGCAAAACTGTTCATGTTTCTGCCCAGTGGAGTTGGAACCACAGAGACAGCCACCAGCACCCCGGAAGTCACGGGTCCCTTCCCTTCACCTGCCTGAGACTTGGATGCTTCTCGGCTCTTGGGGCCAGACCGACCCTGTTCATGGCTCTGGCCGGGGAAAGGAGAGCCAAGTGATTGGAGGGCAGTTACGGCCTTGGACGGGGCACAGGCCGTATTACACAAGCCAGCAGATCGCCTGGGGTCCGTGGGACTGGTTTGTCTTTACCGAGCTCTAGCAGAAACGAACTAGACAAAGAGACTCGTGAACTCGGGTTAACGTCTGAGTTTGCAGTGGTGCTAAGAAGGGGATTAGCCCAGAGAGGTACTGAGCCAAACGGTGTGACTCAGAGAAAGGAAAAGGCATTTGTGCTACAACCTGCAAGGAATCCGTTCTCTTTCTTGTTTGCGCTATTTGAAGGTTGAGCAGATAAAAGGCTTCAGGGAAGAGAGCTGCTTCCCACCTCTGTTTGCTTTTATCATTAAAAGAGAAATGCTGTCCAGTGCTTAGAGGGGGAAGATTACTCCTGGTTCATTTGCTTATATTTCTGTACTTATGAGAAATCTACCACTTCAATAAACGGATATGAGATGCACGGTCTGGTATTGCATGTGTCTGGGTGACGGTCCATGGAAATGGACTTCTTACTTAAGCAGAGACCTTATTGGTTTGTGAACTGTGTCCTGGTAGAAAAATGTCATCTACTGTAAAGTAAAAAACTACGCGAATACTCAGCTGTACCGTGAGACAGTTACGTCAAAATTCCGTATGCATTGGGACCAGGATGGGACGGAGCATGGGAAAAACATTTAATTCGGAAGGGTCATTGCAGACAGCATTGCAAGAGCACTTTCCATTTTATTAGAGTTTGGTGACTATGGCTAGTCTGTTTGTATATTAAAAGAGGAATCCAGCCGCACTGGAATTTTTGCATAGAGAGGGAAGCAAGAACTTCCTAAGGAGTAGTTTCAGTTCCCGAATCTGGGGCGGAAAGGGGATATACTGGTTTGAGTCTGTGATCTGTCCAAGTTTCTGTTATGCTTTCATTTCCGGCTTCTGTCACTCCTCGATTCTTTAGCAAGACAAGGCTTGCTTTGACATTCTGACTTGGATACAGATAAGAAAGGTAGATACACAGACTCCCAGCCGCAGCTGGAACAGCAGTAAATGAAGGCAGGTAGCTGTTCTTCAATTTCTTAAATGCTTTCAGAGCGCTTTGCTGATCTGGTTCTACACTCAACTCCTAGAGGCAGGAAGTTAAAAGCAGAGATCCCCAACTTAAAGAGGAGGACATGGCAGAGATGAGCTCGGAAGAAAGTAGGGATTCCCCAGCCGGAGGCCTGAGTCAGAAGGGAGACCAGCTGTGAAATTCCAAGCTACTCAGAACTAACAACTCCCATTCATTCATTGGTTCATGCGTTCTATCAGCTTTTGTGAATTAAGCACCAACTAGGTGCCAGACACTGCTCTGGGTGGTCGGTGGAAATAGGACAAGCGACAGAGGTGCCCACCATCCTCATTCAAAGTGCCAAGGCACACTGAAAAGAAGTATGCAAATGAACGGGAAGGGAACTCAGGATAGCTATGGTATTCAGGAGACAGCAAAGCTGGGTGATGGGAAAAAAGGGAGTGAAGTAGGGTAACTGGGAAGGTCTCTAGGAGGAAGTGACCTTGAGATGAGCCATGAATGACCAGACAGAGCAAACAGTGCAACAGTCTGGGGGACGGGGATGTTCCCAGGCAGTGGGCATGGGAAGTGCAAAGGCCCTGAGGTGAGAATTAGTCTGTTTGTGAGCCCATTAGTTTCCTAGGGCTGCCTCAACAAGTACCACAGACATGGCAGCTTAAAACAGCAAAAATATATCCTTTCTCAGTCCTGGAGGCCAGAGGTCCGAATCAAGGTGTCACCAGGGCTGGTTCTATCTGGAGGCTCCGAGGGAGAATCTGTTCCACGCCTCTCTCCCGGACGCTGGTGGCTCTCGGCAATCTTGGCGTTCCTTGCCTTGAAGAGACATCGCTCCCGGATCTGCCTCCATCTCTACCTGGCCTTCTTCTCTCACTGTGTGTTGTCTCCTTTCCCATGTCTTAGAAGGATACTTGACACTGGATTTAGGGAACGATGGTGGTGGCTGTAGGAGGCAAGGTCATGGCCCTTTACTCCAGCTTTTACCTATGAACGTGACTCAGTGTCTGTCAGGTCAGATGCTCTCAGAATCTGATCCATCTCAAACTACTCTTTATAAAAGGTCATAAAGGCAACAGTCACACAGCAGCTGGATAAAGGGTATTTTTAAACTATTGTTTGTATAAAAACATGCTCTCTGCCGGGTGTTCCTCTGATAACATTTCAGATCATCTGTTTCGCTCATTTAAACGGCATGAAGGTTTGGGCTTTTAACAGAGTCGATCTCAATTCTCTCGCTTCCAAAATTTCTGCCATATTGTAAAACTATGGCCCCAGGAAACTGCAGAGGTCATGGGTTGACCTTCGAGAAGCAGTTCACAATGCCCCAAACCCTTCCAGATGTAGACCTTCAGATGTGACTCCTAGAGTCCCTCAGGAGGTGTTCTGGAGAAGAAAAGTCTTCGCTATTTTTTGTATTGCTTAATAAACTCGGGAGAAAGAAAGACTTTTCGGCAGGCTTAGGTGTGGTGAGTACCTGCCCAGGAAGTTCTGCTCACTAAATTTCGTGTCTTTTATGATGAATGAAACATGACTATTTTGCAATCAGTGCAGGAATTTCTTTGGGCTCAGATTTAACATCTGGCCACTCTCTTGTCTCTTCAGGGAGAAGGGGTTTGCGAGCGGCGTTACAAACGTCAGACCTGACCTATCGTACACAAGCCCATGGTCTTGTCAGAGGACAGGCAAGTTCTTCTAGGCCCTTAACAAATATTGATATACTCAGGGCTCTGGCCACATCCAGGGAGGGATTTATAGCCACCAATAGGTGTTGGGGATAGGACATGACATTCCCAATGTAACTGAAGAAGAGTAAATGAGCTGACCTACAATGTCGCCAGCTTGAAAAACAGTAGGTTTCTTTTCAGCAAGCTCACAAAATATCCCTCCTTTGGAATATGATACGTTAGTAGGAACGTAGTATTAATGACCCATTTCTGGTTTTGGTAAAGCAGCACGATGCACAGATAGATGCACGATTGAGAGATGCCACTTTCATCATTGTCGTCATCATGTGATCACCATCAGTTACTATATCTGCATTTGCTCCGCGCTAGCTGTGAGACACTGTGCTAAATGTTTTACAAAGACTACTACCTCATTGCATCCTTCCGATAGCTTCAGAAGGTATTGAAAGGTGCTATTTCCGTTTTACAGAAAAGGAGCTGAGGCCCAGAGAGTTTGAATAATTTGCCCAAGGTCATACAACTTACACGAGATGGACCAAGAGAACAAATGTAAGCACGCTGACGCCAGAGTCTCTGCCCCTAAGATTCTGAAAAAATGCAAAGGGAGGGATGAGCAACGTGAACTGAAAAAAGCAGGCTGACTCCCCTGACCTATCTGGTAGTCAATATTTCAGGAACTTTTCAGGCTGCCCAACGCTAGGCCCTCAGGCACCGCCCAAGTCCAGCCTGAGATCATGTACTGAAGGCGCCTGGCATAGTGCCCTGAGTCTAGAGGGTATTATTCTATAAGTTTCCTTTCTCCAAAGCTAACTGGTGATCGACCCCTTCGTTCCTCTTGTCTTTCTAAAGAAGCTACCATCTCACGAGGCAGGTTAGGGTCGCTCACTGCAATACTGTTCGTAATAGTGAAAAATAGAGAACGACCTAAGTGTCCAATAGTCGAGAAATAGATACATAGTGATGCAGGCACCCAACAGAATACCGTATGTGAAGAAACAATGAACTTGTAGCCATAGGACTGAATCTTGAGCACAATAACTAGAGCAAAAAAGCAAGTCACCAGTCTACGGCCATGACACCCTGAACGTGTCCGATCTCGTCTGATTTCGGAAGCTAAGTAGGGTCGGGCCAGGTTAGTACTTGGAGGGGAGACCACCTAGGAAGACCAGGTGCTGTAGGCGTTTAAAAAAAAAAAAAAAAGCAAGTTGCCAAAGATACATGCAATTTGATGACGTTTACATAAATGTTTAAGGCATGCTAACCAGGGTAACATGATTTTTGGAAGCATCACTATGTAAGAAAAAACTCATGGATGACAAGGATGCACAGTAACTGCAGGATACAGATGACTTCCGGAGAGGGAGGGAGGGAAATCCGATGGAAGAGAGGTCTCGACTGTATTTGCAACATTTTTACTTCATTGGGAAAGAAGGATCCACCAATGTCCTTCAGTGGGTGAATGGTTAAAGTGTGGTGTATCCATGCCATGGAAAGCTACTCAGCAAAAAGGACAGGCCATTTAGGCACACGACAGCATGCATGGGTTTCAAGGGCATTATGCTGAGTGAGTGGAGAAGCAAAATAGACCAGTCTTTAAAAGTTATATACAGCATGACGTCATTTGTGTAACATTCTTGAATGGTAGAATTATAAAGAAGAATAGATCAGTGGTCTCTAGGGGTTGGCTCTATAGTGAGAACCATCTATATGTTGAAGATGGTGGTGTTTATATAAGTATATATGTAATAAAATGTCAGAATTATAACAAAGACATATAAGGACAGGAGGAAGAGAAGGAGAGGAAGGGAGGGAGGAGGGAAAGAAGGAAGGAAGGAAAGAAGAAAAGGAAGAAGATAGGAAAAAGGAAAAAAGATACGTGGAAAAACTGGTGAAATCCAGGTGATGTCTGTAGACTAGTTAATTTTATTGTACAAAAATCAATTTCCTGGTTTTGATAATACAGGTAGGTAAGATGCCACCATTTAGGTGACACTGGGTGCTAGGTAGATATTATCTCCCTGTATTGTTTTTGTAAATTTGTGAGTCTATAATTAACTCAAAATAAAAAGTTAGAAAATACAAATGTTTGAAGGAAATATGACCAGCTGTTAACATTGGTCTAATTTGGGTGGTAGGAACATGAGTGTTTTATGAATGTTCTTTATGAGCATGAGAGTATATGCACACGCATGCGCGCACACACACACACACACACACACACACACACACACACAAGGTTACAGGACAGGACTGTGGGGCGGAAGCTCCCACTCGCTCTGTCTGAGACCCCATCTCTCCGGATTCAGCTTCTCCCCCACCTTCTTTTGTGCCCCCCTCTGCCAAATACCCACGGATCAGATTTACCTTCATGTTTTAAAGATTTTATGACCAGCCGCTTCGGAAACTGATCACAGGTAACTAAAAATAAGCTCGTTTATTAAAAAATAAGGTTAAAAACTCTTATACAATGATCATGGAAATCATCACACTAAGTGAAAGAAGCCAGATGCAAAAGGCCACGTGTTGCGTGATTCTGCTTATATGAAATGTCAATAACAGGCAGATCCAGAGACTGGTGGCTGCCAGGGGCCGGGAAGTGGGGACTAGGGAATGACCAGCAGGGGTGTGGCGTTTCCTTTTGGGGTGATGAATGGAACGAAACAGAAGTGGTGGTTGTACCATGCTGCGAATGTACTCAATGCCGCTAAATCGTTCACTTTA